TCCACACCCACCCCACTCACCCACCCAGCCTCTGCCCTGGTCCCTCAGGCAGTCCTGTCTGGGACTCACCTCTCCAGGGTCTCAGTGCCGATGGCGTCGGCCTGCGTGGAGATCTTGCCCCACATGGACACGATGATGGCCCTCTCGGTCTTGGTCAGAGACATGGTGGTGGGGTGGGCGGCTGGGCTGGAGCTGGGCCTGCTCAGGACTGGCCTCGGTGATGCTCAGCCCCCTGGGGTCCCCTTATATACAGGCAGCCCCTGTGGGTGGGGAGAGGGGAGGGGGCTGCAGGGGTGGGATTTCTTATCAGATCCAGTGACAATGGGGCAGCCTGGGCCTGTGGGACTGGGGGTGACGGGCTATCACTCCTGCTTCCCTCCCCTCTGGGGCACAGCTGGAGCCCCAGGTTCCAGGGAGATAGGGGCCCGGGTCTGGTCAGGAGAGTCCACGTGTCAACCCAGCCCAGACTGGCCTCAGTTATGTGGTCCCGAACCTCGAACCTCCTTGTTATTGTGATGGGAGGGAGGCCTGGAGCAGGCCAGGCCCTTGCAGGGGCACTCTCTGTTCCTCACTTTGCTGATGCTTCTCCGCCTCCACCTTCTGAGCTCTGGATATTTATCCAAAGGAACTGAAATCAGTATGTCAAAGACATGTCTGCACTCCCATGTTCATTGTGGCATTATTCATAATGGCCAAGATATGAAAATAATCCAAGTGTCCATCAACAGACGAATGGATTTTTAAGATGTGGTATATATATGCAATGGAATACTAGTCGGCCTTTGAAATGCAGGAAATTCTGTCATTTGCAACAACGTGGATGAACCTAGTGGACATTAAGCTGAGTGAAATAATCCAGGCACAGAGAGACAAATACCTCGTGATCTCACTTAAATGTGGAATCTAAAAAAGCCAGACTTACAGAAGTAGAGAGTAGGATGGTGGTTACCAGAGGCTGAGGGATGGACAGGGAAAGGAGGGATGCTGGTCAAAGGGTACAAGGTTTCAGTTAGGAGGAAAAAATTCTGGAGGTCTATTGCACAATGTGGTGACTACAGCTAATAATGATGTATGTTTCAAAATAGCTAAAAGAGAGAATTTTAAATGTTCTCACCACAAACAAATGATAAATATTTGAGGTGATGAATATATTAATTAGCCTGATTTGATTATTACACAACATATGCATTTGATGAAACATCACATCATATCCCATAAATACATACAATTATTATTTATCAACTAAAAATAAAATAAAGAAAATCTGGTCTATCTGTATAATAGAATACTATTCAGCCATAAAAAGAAATAGAGTACTCATACATATCACAACGTATAACACATGAACCTCAAAAGCAATATGCTGAATGACAGAAGCCAGACACAAAAGGACACATGTTGTATGATTTCATTTACATGCAATATGTAGAACAGGCAAATCCA